TAGGGCCTTCCTACCCTCCAGCAGATCGACACTTCCACCCAACTTGGTGTCATCTGCAAACTTAGTGAGGGTGCACTCAATCCCCTCATCCAGATCATCGATAAAGATATTGAACAGGACCAGCCCCAACACTGAGCCCTGGGGAACACCACTCGTGACCGGCCACCAACTGGATTTGACTCCATTCACCACCACTCTCTGGGCTCGGCTGTCCAGCCAGTTTTTAACCCAGCGCAGAGTGCACTTATCCAAGCCGTGAGCAGCCAGTTTCTCCAGGAGAATGCTGTGGGAGACAGTGCCAAAGGCCTTACTAAAGTCCAAGTAGACAACATCCACAGCCTTCCCCTCATCCACTAAGTGGGTCACCTTGTCATAGAAGGAGACCAGGTTAGTGAAACAGGATCTCCCTTTCATAAACCCATGCTGGCTGGGCCCGATCCCTCGGTTGTCCCACACTTGCTGCATAATGGCACTCAAGATGACCTGCATCACTCAAGATTACTTGGCAGTTAGCGAGAATGATTTTGTGAAACAAAATACAATTTGTAGTGAAAATGGAGGATTTCATTGTTCATATACCTTAAAATATTCATTGTCAGTGACTATCAGGTTCTTGTTTCACAGGAGTCTGAGACTCCAACCATTCTAACCTTCAGGCACACAGTTTTCTACATTCTCCCCCTATACATAGGGAATGCAGGAAGAAAGTGTTAGGAAACCATCAGAATACTTTGATTACTCTAAATACCCAATAGTGAATATTAAATATGTCATGCATGGCTTCAGCTGCCAAGAAAAACACCGTGAAGACGCGGTCTGAGCAGCTGACTTTTAGCAAACCAGGCCCTGCAGGGACTGTGACAAACAGACCAACTGCCGATGCTTTCAGGCGAAAGAGCCCAAACAGCCTGCTACAGTACAAGGGTACAACGGCAGCAGCGCAACACCAAGAAGTCTGTTGACAATTAATCTGCCTTTGGTCAGGCAGCAGCAGCATTCGAAGAGGAAGACAATGTGGTCTTTATCAGGGTCACAATCTTCCCCTCGTGTTCACATGACTACTGAGAGCTCCATCTCCAGAAGACAAATACAGAACCAGATTCCAAGCTCTGGATTGCCCACAGTTATTCCTCTCTCCCCAAAAGAACACGTAATGAGAATCTCACTGTCACAGCAGCAGATCAGTACTTCTGGGCTCTTCAGAACAACCAACACATCCTCACTCTCTTCTGCCGGCCGGTGGTACCGCCCATGCACAGGCAAGGCAGCTCTAAAACAGCGAGAACACCGAGGGTCAGGTTCCATGTGCAGGAGAACAAGAAGATCTGTGGCTAAGTACTCAGGAGCCTCCACATCAATGACATCAGGAATTAACATCGCCTGCAAGTGGAGAAAGATACAGATGTGGCTGCAATCAGAATCGACACAAGGGAGGAATGCGGAAGAAAAATATAGGAACTTTTTGTGCATGATTCTGGGATTTAAGAGGCCACTGTCTGCTGCAGTAACCTACTGCAGCAGCAGAAAGGAAAACTATTTTCCTCGTTCTATTGTCTAACACTGGGCCTGATTTCATGGTCAGGAAGATCCAAGTTGGAAATTCTGTCCTTAAGCTGCTCCAAAATAACTTTTCAAGTCCCTCTCCAATGAGTGATTCTAACGCATGAAAAGTTTACAGTGCAACCATGCCTATAGCCAAACCTAAGAGACATTAGCTTAACGATGTGTGTAAGCATGGCCATACCAGCACTTGCAAGCATCCCCACAGCAGAAGTTGCCCAGAGTCTTTGCATCCATATGTTTTAACTGAATTAAGCATCTAAGGAGATTACCTTAAAGCCACAGCTTTAGCACACCTGTCTACCCAAAATGCAAAGCAAACACTGGAAAGCAACACAGAAAGCTGTGATGAAAACGAAGCTGTGATGAAAACGAAGCTGTGATGAAAACGAAGCTGTGAAGCCACTCAGTCCAAATGCGCAGCACGCTACTTGGAGCCCACCACCACCCCTTTGGTGGGGGTTAACCATCCGTCTTTTCAACCTGAAGAGCTTGTACCATAGTTGCTCATCTGGGGCTGAGCAGAGTTGCAGTGGCTCCCTGGTACACACACCTACGTCTAGAAATATCAGCAGCACATGACACAAAACGCCCTGCACTGTGCGATGCTGATCAAGCCGAGAGATACAATGAGATGTCACGGAGATGATACTGTGCAGCATCTCCTTCCAGGAAAAGGAATTAATCACCTTGGTTCAACAAGCCAGATAATGACCAGAGATCACAACTTCCTGAGCATCGAGTCACTCCTTATCTGAGTGACTGCCAGATGTCTTAGCTTTGGAGTTGTTACCTTTGTTAAATTGTGCTGCTGTAGCGATGCCAGCTCGTAGGGATCCACGTAGATTCCTGGTGGAAGACGAGTCCTAGCTGCCACTGCACATCCTCCCACATCCTCCCCCAATGCACCAAGTTCTACCTTCACCAGCAGGTCCCTTCAAACAAGCAACAGAAGCAAAACATTTATACCTGCACCTCAAAAGAAAGCACACACCACCACCACCACCACCCCCCGCAAGAGACATACTCTCAAATGCGCAGAGATTAGATGCGGCTCTGACGTACCATGTGCAACAAGTTCAGAAAACAGTTCCCTGTTGAGCCATGCTGTCCTTCTCTGGTTAGGATGATGTAGTTCACCCTGACTCCACATCCATGACCAAAATGAAGTTTCACTTCTTTGTTAACTTCTCAGAACTACCAACAGCCTCCACACAGATCTTGGAAAGGGGCTTCCTCTTCTTCCTCCACTATAGCTTGTTAACTGGTAATTACTTGATCATGCTAATACATTCCTAGTGCCTAGCCACACCCATGGATCACAGCTCACTGAGCTGATACAACTGTGCATGAATTAGAAGAGAAGCTTCTTCATATGTAAAATTGACGGGCACATTATTCTGATGCAGCACCAGGGTGACAACCTACCTGTGGAACCCCTCTTTCAGAAGCTCCTGTGCGACAGTGGCATCCTGACAAGCAGCCTGCACATCTAAGAGAACACAGACCAAACGAGTAGCGGTGTTTACAGAACAGCACACGTAATTATCACACGGGCAGACAACAAGTGAAGTCATATAATGTATGAACACATCATCTGCAAAACCTCACAGCGAAAGGGAAGCAGTATTTCCATTTAGTACAACCAACAGCCGTTTTGTCAGTAGAACACCAAGCTTCAGCTACCATAAAGGCTGAAATCTCTTTTTTTCCAGCAGAGCAACTTTCAAAAGTGTGATTTTGTTTTTACTGAGGAGCCTGTAATAATCCCCACTTTTTCCCACTGCAACCCCCATTCCAGGTGTGATTCTCCTACTTCTGTATCAATCCCTATAAGATCCAGATTTTAACAATGAACTTTGTGTTACAGCCATTCTTTTCTTTATTTTTTCTCTAAGTTTCCATAGGATTTCACCTTCAGATCTGAAACTCCAGTCATCTTATGTACCACATCAGTACCTGCTTGAGTGGAGACCTAAAGCAAGGCGATGTTGGCTTAATATGAAATTTTGCAGAAGGTCTTGCAGCTGGTTTTCAGTTACTTAATCTGAAAAATTGCTTGCTTCTGTTATTAAATTCAATGCTAGAATAGACTATTTCAGTTGGGAGGGACATACAATGATCATCCGGTCCAACTGCCTGACCACTTCAGGGCTGACCAAAAGTTAAAGCATGTTGTTCAGGGCATTGTCCGGGTGCCTCTTAAACACTGATAGTGTTGGGGCATCGGCCACCTCTCCAGGAAGCCTGTTGCAGGGCCTGACTACCCTCTCAGTAAAGAAATGCTTCCCGATGCCCAGCCTGAACCTCCCCTGGCACAGCTTTGAGCCGTTCCCAGGCGTCCTGTCCCTGGATCCCAGGGAGAAGAGATCAGCACACACGGATGCCCCACACACACAGCCCGGCCGCCTTTAACCACCCGACACCGCCTGAAACCTCGGCTCGGCCGAGCTCTAAGCCAAGGCAGGGCCCCGCCGCCTCTGCACAGCCCCGGGGCCACCCGGCCCGCTTCACCCAGCCCCGGCTCCCGCAGCCAGCGGGGAGCAAAGGGAGCCGCCCGCGGGCCCGGCTTCCCTCCGCCCGGCCCGCAGGGGGCC